GATTCTCGGCTTTCCCTCAAGGGTTTCCCTGGTCAGGTCTTCTGGTATTGTCACAATGTGAGGAGGGGTACCAGGGCTTGCTGCCCACCCACTCCCTTAACCACTCCCTCTCTCAAGAGAGAGCCTGGCCAATGAACTAGGTAGGAGCCATTCTACAAAAGCAGCAGACTGCAGCATGTAGACAAGAGCGTTGTTACCAAGCTCCTGGGCTCAAACCGGAGCTCCACCACCTACAGATCTACAGGCAAGTTACCAAACCTCTACATTCCTCGGTTTGCTCACCTATAAGATGGCAGCCAATGTATTACACACTGCTTTATATAAGATTAAATGAGCTAAAATCCTAAAGTTCTTAGAACCACTTGGTTCTACAGAAGAAAATAATCAGCCATGGCTATCATGAAAATATTTCGACTTCTCTCGTTCTGAATGTTTTTTTCTCCAAAGATATCCTGCTAAATGTGAATACCCTGAGATGTTGTTAAACATCACAGGCTAACATTTTCTGGAGGGGACTTGGGGACATCAAACTGAGCACAAAATTCCTGCCTCAAATCTATCACAGAAGCCTACAGTGAGACTGCGCACTGTAGACGAGGAAGATTTAAGGAAGGGCCACAAAGATGAGTTTTAGCCATGTCATAATTGTTTCCTAAAACCCATATATAATGTGATTACCTTTCCCATTTCCCACAAAATGGCTTGATCTCACTGATCATCAAGCGAGGTGAAACGGTCACCTTTTGGTCCAACATCCTGAGCATTTATGTGTAAATCTTCCCTGAGGAAAAAGTTCAGTTTAACATTTATTGAGCTCATAGTACACGGAGAAAACAGGTTCTCTATGTAACCCTAGCAGGACATCCCTTAAGAAATGTACACCCCATTAGAAAAGTTACAGTATTAGCTCATGAGAAAGAAAACAGTTGGTGACAAGGAAGGAATGCAGAGAGCTGGGGGCTTTGAAGAAGCCATGCGAGACAGTCTCAGGTGATGTGAGTGTCTAATGGGGAGTCTGGCCCTGAAGGGGGTGGGAGGGGAGCATTTCAATGTGGACAGGGTTCCAAGAAGAAAGCAGGAGATGTGTCCAGATCAGTGGCTCCGGTGGGGAGCGGTGGGGTGCAGCTTCAGAAGGGCTGTAGACCTGCACCTTGAAGGCCATGGGGGGGCCAGGTACAGGTTTCTCCCAGAGGAAATAAGAGCCCAGACAAAGAGTTCAAGCTCAGGATGGGCAGGCCTTCAAGTGGTGATTTGGGGCCTGATCTAGCGGCTCTACAGAGGATGGATTAGACAAGAGAAAGACCAAAGGCAGAAGAGTAGGACTTTTGTGCTAACCCAGGAGGGGAAATGAGAATCAAACTCATGGGGTGACACCGGGAGTAGAAAATGGTCCACACGCCAAGTAAGACACCTTACAGAGGAAGAAGCGCCATGACTGACTGAACATGGAGATGAAGGAGCTGGAGAGAAACATGGCTCCCGCTCTTTAAGCCTGGGGGACAGGGGAACAGAAATAAGGCAGTCTGAGTGCCTGCCTGAGGAAAGACCACAGACTCTGCAGCACAGTCCTCGGACACAGCAGCCTCAGCTGAGTGGCTCTGGCAGCATCCGGCAGGCAGCGAAGCTCGAGGAGCGAGTGAGTGGTGAGGAGGTGGAGGCGACGAGCTTGGAAGAAGCTGGCGCTAAGACAGGGACACTAGGCAGTGGCTGGGGACATTGCCAGATTGAAGGAAGGGGGCTGGGAATGGGGACACTGCAGCGCATTTTAATCACCAAAAGGTCCAGTAGTAACGGTTCTTGTTTGAGTGTTTAGTACATTATAAATTGCAAATCACCTCATGTTCCCGAACAGTACTCTGAATAGTGAGGCGAGAGAAGTGGCAAGCAGCAGAGCCGGGACTAGCACTTTCTGTGGTACAGCAGCACAAATAAAGACCAAGGTACAAGAACCACTTTCTCTGAAGGACTGACGTCCTGGTGCACGGAGATGGCCGAGGAGCACAGGCAGAGGGAAAGGAAGTCAGAACATCCTTCCTCAGAGATAATACGCGCATGAGGCCAGAAAGGGTAAAAATGCAGAACTATTTTGAGTGGCAAAGGAGGAAGTTGAGGTGACAAAATCTAGGCAGCTTTGAACTTCTCATTACATGATGTAATTACTGGACCTAAAAGTCATTATTGGAACTAAAACCCATAAAGGCTGTGAGATTTTCTGCAGCGGATGTACACAGAAACAGTGGTGCCTTTTAAAAACCAAAAAGAGATTTGCAGAAGTCACTGTGATAAAATATGGGGCAGTGTCTGATCGACTGAGCCCTGATGGTAATACAGTTCAGTGAAAACAAAATCCTACTGTGATCACATTCTGATCAACGTGCCCAGTAACCCTTTGCTAACATACCAACGAGGCTTGGAGCCAACTGTGTGTTGGGCACTGTTTAAGTCATTGTGAAAAAGTAAAAAGCAATGGCAGGGCAAGGCTGCAGGAATCTATGATATCCTTAGGAGTATGTGCTCTAATTTTATATATTCCCACACAACAAAAATTTCATTACCTCGGCTATAATGCTCTGGCATAAAAATATGTATATATTTTAGAGAGACTATTTCCATAAAAAATGAAGTAGCATATTGAAACGGGTATGTTTATGTTTATAAACTACTATTTTACATAATACGTGTTGAAGGCTTCATAGAAATAGAGTTGCCATAGTGAGACATCAGCTTTAATAGCGAAATAAAATATTTCTCCCCAACAGTCATTACTGCCCCTTGCCACTGCAGACGTGGCCCCAGTAGAACTTGGCTTATACAGGAGGTTTATCTCACCAATAATACAGACATAGCCTCAGGCAGTTGAAAAATAAGGAGAAATTAAAACAACACTAGTCCAGTTGTTGTTCTGTCCAGAGAACTGATGACCTTTGCTCTTTAAGTTGTCCTCACTAAAAAGAGCCCTCTGGAGAGGAGTGTGGGGACTCCAGCTCATTCCCTTCCTACCAATGGGAAAACTAACCTCTCTGGGCCTGCACTTCCACATCTGCAAAAAAGACAAAATGCCTACTTAGTAAAGCAGGCGGCTTGGCACTAGATGCATGACATCCCAGGCATGCAGAGGGTGCTCAGTACACAACTGAACTACGTGGTCTGGCCACGAGGCAGCAGTAAGAGCGCCAGCCTCAGAGCTGCGGTGACTGCCTTCTGGTTTGGCTGTCACCGAATGCAAGGTCTGTAACGAGCCACAGCCCATGCCTGGGCTGCAGCTTCCTCATTTGTCAAACAAACAGAATGGTTTCTGAGGTTTTAACCAGCTCCAAAAATTCTGCCTGGTGATAAGAATCAGTCAGTAAACTCCTTCATGGGCTATATTAATACATTCCTTTTCGTCAGTGATCTTGTTGGTTGGTTTGTGGTGCAAAACACCAAAACCTCCAAGACCACATGACACCTGATAATTGAGAGGTGAAGCAAAATCAAGTGCAAAGCACCCAGTTGAAGCCTCCTCTCTTCCCTTCAGCCCGTGGTCCTGAAAAATATTGTTTTCGATTGCTTTCTAGTCACCCAAATAGCACATCCATCTGAAGAGGGGAGAGGTTCATAGGTGAAAGGCTGAGCCCCTGTTCTGCATGGGGGCCAAAGCAGCCAGATACCTTGTTAGATAGGTCCAAGCCCTCACTTTCAATCTCTAGTAGTCATGTAACTGGAACAAGTGACCTAACGATTTCGTGCCCCATCACCTTTTCTACACAATAGAAGCAACAATTCATCCCTTGTCCACTCTGGGAGGCTTAAATGAACTTCAGATGTGAAATCTCTTTTGTCACTATAAAGTGGGTGCAAACACGAGGCCTGGGCGACTCCCAAGCACCTGTCCCACAGCACACCGACAGGCACCCAGCTCGGTGTGACTTCAACAGGATAAGCAAGCTGGGCAGACAGTCTTGGTCTCCAAGGCCCCTTACATGACTTACAGTTGACAAAGACGAGACCAAAGATGTGTCCCTAAAGAGAGATGTCCAGGGCCCAGGAAAGACCCAATAGAATTCATGTAAATAATTGACATAAACAAATAAATGCCAAAAGGAAGCACAGATGAAGACAGCTGAACAGTCTTACAACATGAGAACTGGGAAGGGTCTTGGTAATAATCACTAACTTCAGAAATGAATAAATCATGAAATCTAAGAACAGACAGCTCTTCCTACTTTCTCCCCATGTATGAGGCACTTTCATATGCGAACTTACTTATTTCTCACAATGTATCCGTGACTGGGGTACTGGTCTCATTTTTCCAATGGGAAAGACAGGAACTAATGCTCCTAAAGGTAATAATACTAAGAACTAGAATAGCAACAAAAACAGGTAATAATTATGCAGACACGAGTGCTTTACATACATTTATTTCCTCAGCAATGTTAAGAAACTACTCAATCCACATAATTTAGATACTGAACAAGAGGGTCAAGGTCTCTGCTTTGATGGAATTTATATTCTAGTGGGGAGAGACTGCCAATAAACAAGCAAGCAAATAATCAAGGTAATTCCCCATAGTGGTAAGTACCATGAAGCAAAAAACTGGGGTGCTGTGGATGAGGATCACTGTGGACTGAGGACTCGGGCAAGGCTTTTTCTGAGGAGCTGACATTTGAGCTACACCTGAATGAAAAGACACCAGCCACGCACAGTCCATCAGTCCATTTAAGTCTTACAGAAACCCTATACTATAAGACAAGAATGATAATTCCCATTTTGCAGTTGAAAAACTTGAGTCCCAGAGAATTTAAAGAACTTGCCTGTAGTTTTGCAGCAACAGAATAATCACAGTTTGAACCTAGGCAACCTGTCTCAGGAGGCCAAGTCTTACATACAACCATAGAGAGCCTCCTTAAAGTGGTTTATTCAAGGTTGCAGAGCTGGTGGTAGAGGAAGACTAGAATCAGCTCCTATTGACTCTAATGAGTGCTCACCATACTCCTTCACGATGCCTCTGGCCCATCACAATGGACAAAAGCAGGTAAGCAAAAGGATGAGGATAAGGCAATGACAAAATACATTTCCCAATATGAGGGTGCAGAAAAGCATCCAGGAATGAGAGACACACGGGCCATGCAGACAGACGAACATGGATTTCTCTACAATGATAAAGCATGCCCCAAACATGGTTGTCAAGAATCCTGGCAGGGAGGTCAGTTCACTTTTGTGCTACGTGTCCCTGGTGTCTGAGCAGTTGGCTGGCAGTCATCAAGGATCAGGTAATGCAGTTTGTTGAGCCAAGTCGGCAGTTTGTGAAGGACTCAATTCGGGTGGTTAAAAGATGCATTAAACCTGATAGAAAAGAATGCCAGAAGATTGCCATGGCAACAGCATTAGGATTTGCTATACTGGGATTCATTGGCTTTTTTGTGAAATTAATCCTTATCCCTCTTAATAACATCATTGTTGGCAGCTGAATACCTTTTTAGAAGAGTTTTTCATCTTGGGGATTGGTGAATAAGTGAGGATTTGAGAAGCTCAAGGAGTATTTGCCTATATGTTTTGTGTTTTTCTTTCATTTTTTTGTCTTCCAAGGTGTTTTGTGTTTGTAAATTAAAACAATTAAAAAAAAAAAGAATCCTGGCAGGGATCCCTGGGCTCATGGGTCCTTGCCTGAGATGCCCCCTTCAGATCCTGTCTTCAAACATAGCAGTAGGCTTTGCCTCAGACCCAAAGCCACTGGGAAGAGGCCATGTCCACCCTCAACAACATTCATGGAAGGAATACAGAGAAAAGTATTCAGATGCACGAGACAAGATAAAAGACTGCTGAAAATCCTATTCTCTCTCTCTCTCTTTGCCCATTTTATTATTTGTTTTATTTTTAGGAGTTCTGAGGGTGAAATGACGACACCCAGAAATTCAAGGAGTGGAACTTTCCAAGCAGATCCTATGAAAGGTCCTACTGCCATGCATCCTGTTCAAAAAATAATTCCCAAAAGGATGCCTTCAGTGGTGGGCCCTACACAAAACTTCTTCATGAGGGAATCTAAGACATTAGGGGTAAGTCAGCTGCACTCCATTCTGTATCCTAGAGACTCTCTGGCCTACAGAAGCAGATGCTGTAGGCTCGGTACAGAATGCAATCCAACTAGAAGGTATATGACCCAACCCGAGATGTTCTTTACATCTGACACAATGTGCCAAATCAGGGACGTGCAGAGAAATTACCACAGTGATCTTTCTCCTTTTGATTTTGTGGTTTGCGTATTTAGGGGTCTCCCATCCAAGTTTGTCACCAGCATCCCAGACATCTGCCTTGGAAATGCCCCAGGCGGTGGGGAAAATGGATCTGAACAAGACAAAGGTCTTGGCACCTCTCCCACTTCTTTTAGGCATTTTACACAACCCCAAGTCAGGAGCCAGGACTTCTAGCCTTACCTTTGTTTTCTGACTTGATGATGACTTCAGTGCATCATGATGACTTCAGTGCATCATCAGTGCCCCCATTCTCTCTCCAGGTCATCCAGATTATGAATGGGCTCTTCCACATTGCCCTAGGCGGCCTCCTGATGATTCACACGGATGTCTATGCACCTATATGTATAACTGTGTGGTACCCTCTCTGGGGAGGCATTATGGTGAGTAAGAGCTAACAACCATTGGGAAGTGATGCAGACAAAAAGGCTGAGGAAAGTATATGGCTGGGAAATAGGTTATGAGGTTAAAATAATTTACCGGAAAGAGAAATTGACTAAATTGAGCATGAATCCCATTGAAAGTCAGTGGTCATGCTTCACGTGAATTCAGAGGGAAGGAAGATTGTCCAAAGTGGGACCTCTCCAAAGTCAATGTGGAGAGGGGGGAGAAGGGCACTAAACATTTGGACCGTACAGCATGGTGTTTCAGAAAGCAGGAAGGCAGGGGAGCATCCCATTTCCTCCCACCTGGTCCTTTCTCCTACAGTTCTGTGCAGCTTTGTCGCAGGTGGTAAAAGCAGTCCCATCCCTAATGAATCTCCTCTGGCTTATCAGCAGAGCAGCAATCCTTATGGCTCTTTCATGTACATGTTTTCCAAGCTTGTAATCTTGTCTGGGTGTGGTATGGGGCAGCCATTTTTATGCCATCATGATACTTCCATAGTTGCCACTATAAAGATGTGTCCAGGATTGAAAATTTCAGAACAAAGAGAGATGGATTAAAACAAGAGTTTCCCCCATTTTATGTCCTGAACAGTAGACAAGGAAGATAAGAAATAATCGCCGTCACTTCCTGCAGTGGCCAACATTTTAGTGGAGCGCCTACGGCCTTCAGGCCAAGTATTTCCTTCCACATTGATTCACTCTTCGTTGGCATCAGTCCTTTAAACCACTGTGAACTCCAAAGAGAAATCCACAAATTCAAAAAAGAAAAAAGAAAAACTAAAACTAAAACTTTCAAATTCACAGTTGTTAGTATTCATTGACCTGAAAACATGAGTTCTGCCTCTGGTCTTACTATATTCCTAGTCACAGCTCCCCAGTTAGTTGAATAAAAGGCATAGACTGAATATAGCTGAGCACGAATAAAGGAGAAATGTGACTGCTGAAAAATGAATGAATACTGTAAAAATGGCTGGACATTTTTGTGAAAGGGGTTGGAAATGTGGATAGCTTTTTTACAACCAGGTCTCAATGTAAAAAGTGACCTCCCTCTCTGCCTCTCTCCCTCTCTGCCTCTTCTCCCATGTCCCCCATGCCTTTCCCAACCACCACCTCTTTTTTCACAGTATATCATTTCTGGATCACTCCTGGCAGCAGCGGACAAAAACCCCAGGAAGAGTTTGGCAAGTAATCGTATGTCCTTCTTTCCCCACATCAGAGAAATATCTACTTTCTCAGTTGAAAACAAAACCTTTAAAAACCTTTGGGATGACAGTAGCACTGAGTTATCTCTCAATCCCCAAAAGCAAAATTTCTCTAGAAAGCTGCTGTGATGTTATTCATAATAAACTTGGAAATGAGACCTACCTGAATTATGTCTGTGGAAACAGAATTATAGGCTGACCCATGAACAGCAACATGCTATGGTCTAATGAATGTTAAATGTTGTGTGAGAGTAACAGATCTCTTTGAGAGCTGTGTCATTTCTCTTAGACCACCATTTAGGAAACTCTAATCAATACTGTGATTCACTTAATCCTCGTTAACTGTGAGCAAGTCAGTTTACCTCTATGTACCTCTATAAAATGGTGCTACCATATTGTCATGAGGATGAATGGCCTAATATACATGAAAGTGCTTCACAGGCTTCAAGGAGCTACAGGGGGACTTATTCTATAACCCCTCTAACACATGTATACCCAGGGTCATGAGCTTATCAGCAAGTTCCTCCCCCAAGTTTTTTATACTTACTAATAAGTTATTACTAATTTGTGTCACTTCCAAAGTCAGTGAGGGATTGAGTGAATGGAAATGGCTCTTCTCTAGAATGGTCTGACAAACTCAGTTTTGGGCGGGGGGGGAACAAGTTATTTTATTCTCCAGATATAGCCAGTCCTACTGACTTGCCATCTGTAGGTCTTATTGCCAGGGATGAGCTATGTATGTCTTAAAATAATCATCAATAATCCTATACTATTAGGTACTTGTCATATATATTTTCCTGTTTTGACCTTTTATCATTCCTGCAAGTAGAACACTCCCTCTGACACCCTTTACCTACGCTACCTAGAGACATCAGTCCTAATGACATTTTGAAAGATGGCAGGCTGAGGCTGATTGCAACCTGTGTCAACAGGGAGTAGGTGGTGGTGTTCTTGCCACTGTTGTTTCCACTTGTTGGTATAGACCCAGAGGGTTCTATCTGCTCCTTCCCTCCCTAAACCCACAGAACCATCTCACTTCATTGTGATGGAAGAAGCTCCTTCCCCCCTCTTCCTCCTACCTTCCTATGCAGACGTAATCTGAATACTATTTATATTCACTCACTCAACCAATATTTACTGAATGCCTAGCAGGGTGATGGCAGTGGCAGTGAAAGCAAGTGCAGGGGTACAAAATAGAAGAATTTAGGATGACGCCTAGAATTTTCTCTTGATAAACTGGATATGAAGTGGTAAAATGAGATGGGGAAGACCAAGGAAGGAATGCAAGTTAGAGATGAAGGTTGTCATTTTACAGTGACAAGGACACTAAAACCACTGAGAGAAGTATGGTTTAATATGATGTAGGTGTAGTGCCCTTGTGAGTCAGAGGAATGGGATCTGGAATTCCTTCCTAGCTTAGATTCTTCAAATGAAATCAAACCCCATTAACAAATCTTCATGTCTCCATTTCAGGTCAAAGGGAAAATGATAATGAACTCACTGAGCCTCTTTGCTGCTATTTCTGGAATAATTTTTTTGATCATGGACATATTTAATATTACCATTTCCCATTTTTTTAAAATGGATAATTTGAATCTTATTAACGTTTCCATGCCATATATTAACATACACAACTGTGAACCAGCCAACCCTGCTGAGAAAAACTCTCTGTCTATACAATATTGTGACAGCATACGATCTGTTTTCTTGGTAAGTGTGAAATCAGGTTTCTTTTCAGGGAAGAAATTTAGTGTTTTTATTATGAGTGTCAACTCTGGATCAAGATATCTGCTACTTACTGGCCTATACAGCTTTTGGGCAAGAATTTAACCACGTTCTGCCTCAGTTTCTCCAGCTGTAAAATGGGGAAATTAACAGTACTTATCTCGTAGGGCTGTTTTGAGTGATTAAGTTAACATATGCAAAATGCTTAGAACTGGAACACAGAAAATGCTACGTGTTTGCTTTAAAATTAATCATTATTATTATTATTACTGGTTAATAATTATTAGTATGATTAAGATGGACACTGAAGAAGTACCTACGTTATTATGAACATCTTTTGCCTCAATGAATTTTCCGGGTAGAATTTGAAGGGGGAAAATGTATCTTCCAAGTATAGACAGGTTTCCTTCATTGTGATACCGTACCACCTAAAGCTGGATACAACTTAATTTGGGATTCAGTGGTTAATTTTTCCTACATAGGACTGATTCTTCAACTAATTTCCATTGCCTTATTTTCTATCAGCAACATGCATTAACCATCTGTGGGGTGCCTGTTGTTGTGCTAAGTGTTGGGATTTTAAAGATCATAGTAGTTCTTACAGTTGATCATTACCTAAAGAACTGAACTTCTAATCTTAATTTTAGCCAACAGTCGCTGACTGAGCAGCAACCATACTCTTTAAGCTATTATTATATTTTTGCCCTTGTTTTTCCTGTCGTTCTTCAGGGCATTTTTGCTGTGATGGGCATCTTCACCTTCTTCCAGAAACTTGTGACGGCTGGCATTGCTGAGCATGAGTGGAAACAACTGTACTCCAAACCTAAGTCTGTAAGTAGCAGCCACCCTGTCCACTCACCCCCTCTGGGAAATCATACCTACAAAAAAATCATCTACAGCAAATGTAATCTAATCTATCTTTGAGACTAAGAGCTTCATGAAAAACGGTCCTGGCAGATTTCCGGAAAGCAGAGAATACCTAATGAGGCAAAAGTGTCTTGAAATTTGAAATAAGCCTAAAGTTTAGACAGAGG